TACGAAACCTTTTTGGCTTTTTCCTGTGAAGGTTTCGTACTGAACCTTGCGTACGAAACCTTTTGAATATTTCGCGGTAAAGGTTTCGTACTGAACCTTGTGTACGAAACCATTTTTCCCATTCATTAAGAAGTTTCGTACGAAACCTTTTTTTGCGAAACCAACGAAGGTTCGGACGGTGTGCCCGCGTCCCGATCCTTTTTTGGTTTCGGAAAACACCTTTTTTTTTAGTGTTGTTTCATTTGATTATATCCATTAGATTTAATTGAAGAATTTTGTTTGTTCAATTGATTATTAATCTATATTATATTTCATTGATAATTTGTGAAAATGTCATTAAATAACATGATAATGATAGTTGGTAAAGTTGAATGCTATTTACACAAAAATGACACCACGAGTACATTAAAAGTATATGACTTTTGATTTTAAATTGAATGTTTAAATAATATTTTTTTGTAGACACTTGGTGAAATAATTCAAGAATTGATGTCCACAAATGATTATGCTCATGATGAACAATTGAAAGATATGTTACTAATGAGTTGTATTAAACGTATCAATATTAATTTTAAAGAAAAAAACTATCACGGTAAGAGAAAATGTTTTTTTAAAGACAGTATACATTTTTAAAAAAAATTGTTAAACTGCCGAACCTTTTTAAGTTCGGTAGTAGCTGTGAAACCTGAAATGATTCTTCATCTGGACACACGCTCGAAACCTTTGCTACGAAACCATTCTAGATCGATACGAATCCTTAATGGTTTAATTCGAAATCTTTGGAATTTCTTAGTGAAACTGAATGATTTCCTATTTTTGATAGAGAACTTTTTTTCTCTCACAGATCTTAAAAAGGTTTCGAGCGTGTATCCAGATCAAGACCATTTTAGGTTTCGCAGCTCCTACCAAACTTAAAAAAATTTGGTAGCTGAACAATTATTTTTAGAGTGTATAGTACCAAATAAATAAACTTATTTAAAATAAGTTTATTATATAAATTTATTCTTTTGAAATTTACTATTCTAAATGTAGAATTATTAATTGGAATTTTTGATAAATTATGATTTATTTTTGTTTTAGATGTCATAACAGATATCAAGATATTGAATTTGATAACATATGATATTTATACAGATACAACTATTTTTTTAATGTATCTGTAAGAGAAATTCTATTTCATTTTTCTTTAAATTATTTTGAATTTGTTTTTTTAGTGAATCAATAGCTAGTCTATGTAAAGAGAAAATAATCGTCGAATTAGAAAACTTTAAAATAAATTGTAAGTATTATTTCAATAGTTAAACAACTAGAAATATTCGTTTTTTTTACCTTGATATTTAGCTAATGAAATGAAAGCTGTAAAAGAAAATATTGGTGTATATTTTAATACAAAATTAACGTTTTCAAAGTATTATATATAATACATGAATTGATTTCTTTTTCTTTAATTTTAGAGAAGTACAAAAACCAGTAAAAACTAAAAAATAATTTTACATTATAATTGGCATCTTCGTTATCAAAATTTGGTATGCATCAGTCCCAGTCGGACTGAGTATCCAGTCCTGACTCGTAACCAGTCGGATCAGTCTCAGTTGGACTAGTATCCAGTCCGACTGGATATCAGTCGAACTGGGTACCAGTCGGACTAGGAACCCAGTTCGATTGGGACCCAGTTCACCAGTCGGGACTGGAGCTGGTGCACACCTAATCAAAATCATAAAAACAAGATGTTGTTATTCATTATTTCATTGGTATTTACACTATTATGGTCTTTTTCTTTATTAACATTCTAAATGGTTTCATTTTGAATTTGTTTACATGAATTATAATCGTTTATTTATTAACAATCTCAATGATCTTATTTCATCGGTTTTTGTTAATGAGTTTCTTTGATGAATATATGTTATTAATATTTATATTCTCTATAATCGATTATTAATTTCGCAGTTTATATATGTTTAGGTGATTTGATAAAGATTATTGTATATAAGTTCATCTATTTAGAATGTTATTTTTTGTTGAATTTGTAAATTTTTCTCTTGTATTCTTATGATTAATTAAAATAAATCATTCTCAGTTCAGTTATGAAAATAAACCATTCTCAGTTCAGTTATGAAAATAAACTTTTTCTTCGATAAAGAAAAATATTTAAAAGTATGGGTGGGTGGGTGTGGGTATGGATGTGATTGTTATTCTTCATTATATCTACACCCACACCCATAGCATTTTTTCTCTATCGTTCTATACAAAAAGAAAGTTTTATCAAGCTCAATATACGGTACTAACATGTCACTGCTACTACTTTTGGATATTCCTAAGGAATATCAGAATAGCAAGTGTTCAAAATCTTTTAATAAGCAAAAAACCAATCATTTTCTCAGACATCTATTAGCTGTATATATCGTTTTTCGCTTCTATATCTTCTCCTTTTGTATTCGAATATCATGAAAAAGATTCATAATAGCCAAAACAATAACTTTAGTCTAATAAAATATAACTATACTTATATTGTCTCTCTGAAGCATTGTTTCTCTGTAGTTAAAGCCTACGTATAAAGAAATGACTAATATCGTAGAATTTATAAAGAAACCTTATCATTATTTAATGATAACAATAAAAACGTGACCTTACTCAGTAAATAACCATGATTTATTTTAACATATAAAAGACAAAAGACATTATTTGCAATAAACAATATATTTCTATAGTAGGAATAATAATGGGACAGAAAGAAAGTTCAATACATGATGACAGTATCAAAAGTGAATCCAAATCTGATCTTAAAACGGATTCTAATAATACAATTGAAATTCAGAGAGAATGGTATGATGAACAATTATTGAAACGTTGTAAAACTATTTATTTTGATGTTGAAGCTTGGTATAATATCATACAAAGTGAAACATTTTATACTGAATTTATTCCAATTTCTCCATCGATTGCTCAAGCGTTTATTAACTTTTTTAAAACACGTTATACATCAGAAAAATTATTAAATTCTAATGACACACAACTTATTGCATCAATACAAAATCAACTAAAAGAACAAATATTCAATACAAAAACAAATAAATTTCAAAGTAATGGTGCTTTTATTCGTTTAAGTGCACGAAGTCCAAAAGATGGAAGGCGCATAGATTCTCAAAAAATCAATCAACTCTATGAACAAAAATTGAACGAATTACAACTCAAATATCCAAATGAATATAAATCAATTAAAGGCAAAGCAAATATGCAAATTATTGCTAGTTGGTATGCTCAATTTTATTCATTGAAAGTTACCAGCGAAACTGAAGCACTAAATTTGATTTTATCAAGTGTTAGAGTTTATCATGATTTAATACAGGTGCTCGATTGCCAAAAAGTGATGGATAATAAAATTGCTAATATTAATAATATCGAATTACATAACTGGAATAATAATATAATCGTTCGTGAGTGGAATAATTCATTAGATCCTTCGATGGAATTTCGTTGCTTTGTTTATCAATCAAATCTAACTGCTATATCACAATATAATTATTATTGCAAATATTATCATCTCCAAAATGATGCAATTATTCAGAAAATAAAAATAACAATTATTAAATACTGGCAAGAAAATATTCAACAACTTTTAGATCCATGGTCTGAGAAATATTCTGATTATGTGATTGATATTGGATTAATTGAAAACAAATCAACTAATAAATACGATTGTATCGTTATTGAAATGAATCCATTTGAGACAACTACCCATCCATGTTTATTTGATTGGACAAAAGATAATAATCAGTTAAGAGGACAAGGAAATGAAATAGAAATACGTGTGCAATTGGATTATTATCCATATATTGAAGATTATGTTGAATTTATTCTTGATATTAATCAGTGTGACGGAAAGAATAATTCCTCATCTGATCATCCTGCCAAAGAACCGTATTTTATCTTTTTAGATAAAATGAAAACACAACTTTCTTTATGATGAATATATGCATGAAAATAATTGAATTATAGAGAGCATTAATCGATAAATCAAAATAGAGAAATTAAACGAGTGGCGAAAATATTTATTCAATTCTATTTTTCTTTATTTTAAATAATTTTTTCTCTTTTCCTACCTTTCGAACTATTAAGTGTTCATTTTCAAGATCACGACCGAGTACCGCAGATGTATTACGAGTACAACCTGAACCTGTTTTTTAATCTTGAAGTTCATAATCACAAGGAGAATAGGTAAGTAAACGAAGTAAAAGAAACTTATGTATATGATGAAGAAATTATTATGTAGTAGAATCTGGGTCTGGTATTACGCTGCGTGGTGAACCTTCGGGAAAGACAATCATCGGGATAGACTGTGTACTAAGATTTAGTTGTGTTTCATATGTTTTAATGACTAAGGATTCTTTTACAAGTAATTTATAACTATTACTATCTTGCCATACAACCTTGAAACGTTCCCAGTCCATATGATGGCCGGTTTGTTGTTGATAGCGAGATATTGCTGTTTCATTGGTTTTTGTTCTATTTTCGTTAGTTTTGTTTTTATTATCAGTCTTGGTGTTTTGTAAGTTGGTATTGGTATTTGGCAGGGTGTGAGTGTGGATGGGTGTATGTGAGTACATGTCGCGACAATGCACACCCACACCCGCATCCATACTAACTGTTACTTATATTCATCGAACCTTAAAAAATAAATATTACTTAGTGATATTCATCATTTTAAATTAAAACTAGTTTGAACTACCTCATGATAGGAATTTTTCTATACCAGTAAAGCATAAAATTGTAGAAATTCTCTGAATTCAACATTGAAAAGCATTGATAACTCTCATTATTTAACACTGATAATTTTCATTTTCGACGAGCTTTCAGTTGACATAAAATTTATTGTTTACTATATTTGAAATCTTAGTGACATCTCCCTGGAAAAATATTATTTCCTATCTAGTATATTTGATGAAAATCTATTGATTATCAATATTGTATGCGTTCATCGTTGTCTACAGTTACTATATCTAGGAAATCTAATATAATATTTGTTCGAAACAAAATGCTGACATTTCTTAAAGCAACAATGTTCATGGAATCAGATTTTTTTTTGATGAAGTGCATCGAAATATTTTTAATGTCAGTTTCTTCTACTAAAACTTGATAAGTGACTCAATTTTAAAAGTGCTATGAAGAGAGTAGACGGTATTCAAGAAAAAAAAAATTAATTGCACTTATGTTTAAGTTCAAAAAATAATATTGTGTTAAACTTGACGAGAAATATAAGGTTGTACCAGTAGAACACAAAATATATTTTATTTACCGTGCAAATAATAATTTATATGAAAGAAAAACAATTTTTTTTCCCTTGATATCATAATAACAGTGGAGAACGGAGAGACAATATGAATGTTATTATATTGGAAAAAAACATGTAGTCATTAATTACTTGTTTTGTTTGACAAAGGTGAATGGTCAAAAAGCCGTGCATTTCATGTCAATATTTGCTACCAATGCATATCATATTCATCCTACGTAAAATACAAATTATATAAAGTATACCTTTTTCTTTTTTATTCTAATAACAACAACATGTAAGTTTATTTATTTCAATGTTGTTTTTCGATTGAAAAGAATGATACACTGAATGCAATTTGTGACCCCATAAGAAGGTGTATAAATCAACAATACGTAATTTTTCATTCTTTTTGTGCAGTTTATTTAGTTTCAAAACCAGTTAGTCACTAGTAAGTTTTGTTTAAGACAAAATTAAAATGTCATTTGAATCTATAGATTAGAAAAATGATTACTTCTTCGCCACGCTTGAACAATCGAATTTCTTGTCTACCACTTGAATAAAAATATCATCAGAAATTTTTTTTTGATTTATTTTAGACCATCTAGGAATGCATCGGTGTATCATTATTTCAATATTGATTTCAATATCAAATATTAGTGCATATATTGCTATTGGTGGTAATTTGGATGGTGTACGTGATTGGACTTGTAGTCTACAATATGTTAATCTAGTAAGACAATCTCGTGTATGAGGTGGTCCATCTAGTCCTTGGGATGCAAATGCAACATTTGATCCAATAGCTGGATGGCCTACAAGAGATTTTGGAATGGTATTATCTACAGCTGCTATTGATATGGGTGGAACATATTTATTAAATGCTCAAGATAACGCACAAGTGATTGTATATGGTGGTTCATCAGCAGGACGTATTGCAAATAAAATGTATAATGCCTCAACAAATACTCTATCAGCTTCAGTAATTATACCACAAGGCGCAACACAAATAATGCTTAGTTTCACCAATATAAGTGGTCCTGGTTTGCAAAATATAAGCGTGTTACAACCTGGTTATGATTTAACATCGAAATCAAATATTACCAATTTAATGTTAACACATTTATCACGTTTTAGTATCATACGTTTTATGGATTGGACTAGCAGAAATACTAATCTAGAGGTTAATTAGAATGAAACGATCCCTTTGAATTGGCTACGATATACACCACCTAAACGCAATCCATGGAAAACAATTCCATTTATTGAAAATCAATTCAATTCAAATGTTGATATTTGGATAAATATCCCATATGGAGCGACAGATGATTATGTATTAAATGTAGCACAATTAATGTTAAATCAATTAAATCCAACAATTAATATTTATGTTGAATTTTCAAATGAATTATGGAATTTTATATTTGCACAAGCTACAGCAAATCTAAAAGCTGCAAATGATTCTGTTTTGAATCAAGATGATCCATTACGATTAGCTTATGATAATAGTACTAATTATTGGTATTGAGCATTTCGATGAACAGCATCACAAATTAAACGTATATCTGATCTATTTAAAATTGTATTTGGTCAAAAAAATGTTGGTTCATGGAAACGAATTCGACCAATTTTAGCTGATCAATGTGTAAATCCAACTATAATTATATAAGGTTTAGATTATTTTAATAAACTTTATTGTCCACCATCAACATTTCTTCATGATATTGCTATTACTCCTTATTTTGATTTATCACAATATAAAACATGGTCAAATTTAATAACAGATCAAGTTATTGAATGACTTAATTCTAGTATACAAACATTTTTACCTGAACGAGGTTGGAGTCAACGAGTACCAGTTGGCGTACATGCTGTTTATGCTGCTTGGTATCGATTAGCTGTTCATGATTATGAAGGAGGTCTAGATACAGCTGCAGCTTGGGGAGGTTGTTCATTATCAGCAAAAAGTAATGCTACACGTGATAATCGTATGATTAATTTGTGTGTATCGTTTTTAAATGGTTGGTATCGATATGGATTTCAACCATTGAATTGGTGGGTTACTGGAGCAGCTCAGATAACAACGTATGGTTCATGGAATTTACTAGAGGATATGAGACACGAAACATTAATGGATACAACAGCAATGTTTAATTCATCATCACCTGTTGCACAACTTCTACGACCATCATCAAAATTAAAAGCTATTGATCAAATTCGTCAAAGTTCAATATCAATGATATTTGGTATACCTAACAACAGGAAATACGGCAGTATTTCAACCAACACCATCATTTCAATTTAATATAAATCCAACAATTGTTCCATCAATAGTTACACTTCGTTTAAGAAATATTCGGGATGGTTATTCTATTCGTCGTTTTGATGTTGTATCAACAACAACACATTCAATATAATTTCATTCATAAAACATTATTTTTTCTATCTTTTATTAACAACAGAGGCAATGCTTTTTCTTTGAATGATTCTCTGTTTGTCAATTATATTTTGATAATTGAAATATAAACTTTAGAAAAAAAAATACGAGGCAAGTGTCATGATCGGCACTAACAAAGAAATCATGCTGTATTGTCGTTTGTAATGAATCTAACGTGAATCAAAACTGACTGTGGAGCTGACCGTACAAGAAAATTGCATGTTTACATCATTATCGAATCCATGTGACTTTGTTAACGAAAATAAACTCTAAAAAAGGAACAATTCATGAGAATAAGAGATAAATGATCAATAGATGATAGATAGATTAAATTTTAACATTGATATTGGATTGGTATCAAAGGGCCATTTACAATCATATTGGTTCGATCTGAATGTCTATGATCAACTTTAATGTTGTTAAGGTCATGCATGCTAATTAGATAGTAGTCTTTCCAGTATACGTGATCATTCAGGAGTTAAATTTAACTCTTCGAATGAAAAATATGTTTTGTAAATTGAAAGATGTAAGTTTGTATGTCTTTTTATTTGTTTCATTTTGATTTTACTGACTGTGAATATCAGAAAAAACAATTTGTTATGTGTAGCTCCTGGTTGACATTTAATCAAAAATTGAATATCACTATTCTTTCACTTAGATTCAGAAAAGTGAGCTTGACATGTAAAATCAAGATTCCCGCTCGTTCTTTCGATCCTAATTAAATTATTTCTTGAAATTTCTCTTAACATTGTAGGGTGTGGATGTGTATGTATGTGAGTCTCGTCCAAATAAATACCCATACCCTTCTTATTAGCAATTAATTTTCACAAGATTTTATAATTACAGATTCATTCTAATAAAACTACATACTTAGGATTGTTGAAATCAGAATTCTTATTTAATTTATTTTACTTTTCTAGCACACATGCCAGAAATAGTTCATGTTGCCGCATGTACTACAAGAGTAACGCGGCACAAAAAAAACCTTAAATTACCATAGCAGCGTTTCGAGCAGTGGCGAAAATTCGTTTTTTTCTTTTCTAGGAAGACACCAGGGAACTGTAAATATATAAAGAGAATTTGAATATAGCACTCCAAGATTGAGTCACTCTTATAACTTGATAAAAACAATGCTACTTCAGTAAATCGATGATATTGACATTAGAAATGCATTTGTAGATGGGATTTCATTTTCGACACATATTCTTAGTCCATATTACCTCATGTAAGAAAACTTTGTCTTGTTTTTGATGTCTTATTGTTAGGAGCAAATTTACTCTGACAACTAAATAATATTGAATAAACATTTCCTTTATCTGTAGACTGCTCAAGAAGATGATTACCTCAGAAAACAAAGTACGTCACTTTTTGAATTTTATATCGAAAAATAAGCCCGGCATGCGTACTAGATATACTGTCTTGGTTTTGTGTTATTCTACAATTTTTCTTGCTTTTTTCACGAATTAGTTCGCCATTTATATATCCAATTCTCATGTTTATCTAAGCTTTTTTGTATATATCCATATCATAAACAAAAACAAAACAAATCTACCGATAATATCTCGCTTGATGCATGATCACTGATTCGTTCTAATAATAGACAATAGTTACGAATGATTTGGTAGAATATTGCTCGAGATTATAAGTTTTTTTAGAGGAAAATACTTTTCAAAGATTAAAAGAGAAACTGTGAAACAACTTGTAGTTGAAAAAGGTGTAAGCATCTGACTTTACCAAACAATGAACATATTTGTTTAATTCATTTGATCGACAGGATGAACTTACTTTTCAGGTTAAAGGAGAACTGATAGTTTCTTCCCCTATATTTTTTCTATTACTTTATGTAAAAACTTTTCAGTTAATTTTTTTTTCATCTGACACTAACATGATATTCTCTCTCTTGATTCATTCATGTATATGCGATAATGCTCTTTCTTTTTACAGATTAGCTATATGTGTACATGATATTTTCATAGATAGTTTTAAAATAAAGGACGTGAAATCGACTCTACCAGGAGAAGAGAAGAAGAAATGAGCAGCAACACTGATCTATAGACAACTATTTCAATCAAATATCAAAATGTAATAGACAAAATAGACATGTAAATATGAAGATGATCTCGACATTTATTTTAGGACGAACGATTTCAACAAAGATGAAAAGTTAATGATCATACATTCATCTTAGACTTTCAAACGAATTTCCATTTGATTTTATTAACACTTAGATCGAGTTTTGAAATTCATCAATTATTTTAAAATAACTGACAATCATTTACTCACATCTTCTATGATGCAATATTCTTGGAAAAGCAACTACTATTCAAAATGATAGTAGCTCGACTATACGAATTCTGAAACTCTTTATTCAAGGTAACAACGTATATGAATCGTATTAGTGGAAAGAGAGAGTTTCAGCGTAAAATGCGAAAATTTGCATTCAAGTAGGTATATCTGGAAAGTAAGCAAAGCACAAATTCGATAACTTTGTCAAATACAATAAGGGCTCAAGTACATTGAGAATTATTACTATTGAGAATCTTCCTAAAATTAAATCACATACAAATATCACATTTTGTAGAACTCGTCTAATTCTACTTGTGTTCAGCACATTAATGACAAACTTAAATCTAATTGTCAAGCAAATTCTGCCGTAAGATATTCTATGTTCTTCTTATCTGTATGCGATGAATTTCTTTCGAACAACTACAATCACACTTTTGTGGCATTGAACGACTATTTAAAAGAAGTTCAGAATGAAGAACTGTCAAATTCCTTCTGTTCATTTCATTTTATCTAATTTGATTCTTTAGAATTAGGTAAAACTTAGCTTCAAATGATAATTGACTTATTAGTCTCATTTGTTTTTTGGTCAAAAACTTTAAGAATCTGTTAAAATTGTTATTAATTATAAATTGCAATTCTAAAGAAAACTTTCAATTATTAAAATATGAGTTCTTCATAAGATGCATTCGAAATCAAAATGTTAAACATGAGAAAGTTGTTTTTTTTTTAGAGAGTATAAATCTTGTCTTAAAGAATTAGCAAGTTTCTTGTAATATTAATTCTAACTTACAAAAACATTCTCTTATTAATCAAACAAATAGTCTAACTTTTCCATTGAAAACTAAAACGATTATTAATATTCATTGTACACAAAAACTTTCAGCAAATTTCGTATCTACTATTAATTCAATCAGGGATTGTCAAGTAAAACAAAAACGTTTTATTCTTCAAAATCATATAATATCATTTAGTTTCGAATAATCCAAAAGAATAATAGTTATTATCTATATGAAGAGCAGTTATTCTGGATTTTGGATTAATTCCAACATATCTTCATCGAACCTTAGTATAAATTGATCTAATTGATATTAAATAATTAAAAATAATCTTTGAATTAATAATTGAAATAATGAACAACAAGTTATTTAAAGTGATTTGAAATTAAGAAAACAAGGAATTTGCTTAACATTAGTATAAAAGAAGAAAGAAATGAAGCATCCACAACCATCCACTTCTATTATATCGATAGGATTAGATGAGCAACTTGATGTATTATTGCTGAAACTATAACAAAGTACATGAGGAGTTTTACTTAGGACAATCGAAAAGTAGTGATAATAATACTTTAATACTATATAGTAAGCTTGAAGAAAGTTTCCTTTTTATATGCAGTGATAGTAAAAACAATGTTCTATTTTTCTATGGTATTTCATCATTCTGCAACTAATATAATAATAATAATAATAATGATAAAATTTCGTTAAAACATTTTATTCTATCATATGTGACGGTAATACTAATTCCTATTTAGCTGATAGTTTTTGATAGAAACTAGGTAGATTTCTTCATGCTTATTAAAAAGCTACTGACACTACTTTTGAATTGTCCTAAATATTTTTACTATTAATTTTTTATTTCAAAATTCTAGTATGCACTGTTGCTAAACAAATTATGAATAATATCTTTAAAAAAAATGGTCGTTTGATTAATGTACACGATATCAAATCAGCATGAATAAATGATAGTTTCCTATAATTAAATATACTTGTTTGTCGAGTGTAAAACCATGTGTTCTTAAAAATAAAATTTTAATTATATATTGTTCATGAGAGAAAAAGTATAATTACCATGGATCTGAATCTAGATTATAATCTTTAAGATACAGTTGAATGAAGACATTTTCTTTTTGTATACCTTTTTTGGATTGTTTGAACGAAGTTTCTTTACCAATAAAATCTTTCTAAAAAAATAATTTAAATACGTATGTTCGCGAGGAAATTAAAATTTTAATCTATCCTAGAACATATTAAAATTCTTTTTTTTATGAATTTCATATGACGAAATAAAGATTTAGGACATGGGCTTGAGTACAGTACATAATCATGTTGTTGAAATTGTCATGATTTTAGAGCTATTCGATGTGATATCAAAAGAATTAGTCATATTATTGTTATTGATCCCTTGTTTATTATACTTCGATATAGCAAAGAAAGGGAAAAAACCATGACATCGCTTATGGATTATTTTTAGAAGGATTTTGTACTTTTCTTCACATTTATTGACATCATCAAAGTATGAATCATTTAATCACATGTTGCTAAAGTTAAATCTAACGAAGTAAACAAGTACAAAAAATCGCTCGTACGAATGAGAAAATCTCCTAGAAGAATCTTGTAATTTGACTTACCCTGTTCAATGAATGTAGAGGAGGCCCAATTGAGAAAAATACACGCATGACAAACATAACAAATCGTTCATTAGATGACATCTTTGATTACATGTAAAATTGCAAAATTGCTCTAAAGATAGTTCGTCATTGATGTCATTTTTTTTTCCTTTCTTTTCATCGTTGTATTATGATAAACAAGATATTAATCATAATATCATGACTATTTCTTCCGATAATACACTGAATATCTCTAAAAATATCACAATTTGGACGATGTTTACAGTCTATGTTGAAATTAGTCATTCGAACGAGTCCCCATATAAAAAGACGGTAAAAATTTGATTAAAATCGATTTCTTTATAGGAAATCATAGTAATCATTTAAGATCTAATCGATTAAAGTCAATTAGATTTTTAATCGGTTAGGGCCATCTATAATAGACGCTCAGGTTTAAATCGAATTTTTGTTGACCCCTTTTCCACCTGTCCAGGTTTGTCAAGTTTTATCGACTCCCTTCTCTTCCTGGACGTCCAGTATAAAAAACACTTTCTAAAAAAATCTACTCCAAAATCTCTGTTTTTCATGAACACTGATCGTCAGGGGGAAGAAAACCGATATGCTCACTTCCGTACTCCAACTGAACAATTGCACAAAAAATTGTGTGAAATAAAAGAAAAACATTCATAGTTAGTGTTTGAACATCCAAAACTGTTTGACTCCTTCCTTTTGTCCAGAATTGTTCAGTTTTGAGGGATCCTCCTTACCTGGACGTTTCTTATAGAAAGGTCTTTACTACGATTCCGCTAAAGAAAATAAGTTTTAATCGATTACTAATATAATTGTGCCATCTCAGTTATGAAAAAATTTATATAGCAGTTCCTAGTTTACTTCATTAGTCGGACTTTAGCTTAGTGACAACTTCATGGTTATTAAATACGAGGAATTCAAAAAATTATGAAAAATAATAGATTAAAACTGATAGAAGGATATCCATGTAAAAAAATGGGAATAATCTGACTTTAATCGATTTCATAAAACTTTTTTTTGTTATATGTTTAGATTAAAATCGTACACGAATTTCTGATCTATTTTCAATCATCAACAATATTTTCATAATGTTCAGCATCGGTCTGCTAGCAAGTCTGTTTTGTTTAGTCGTCATTCATGCACGAAGCACTAGTGCACAATGCTGGTCCAAGAATGCTTGCATTGCTACTAGTGTATGTGCTGCTAAAGGTGGAACTTCTAAAGCAGGTCTCTGTCCTGGTCCTACTCAAATCCAGTGCTGCTCTTGGTAAAGCATCCTATTTCATTGATACTCAGAAACTAACCATATTTGATTTAGTTCAACATGCATGGATGTCAAGACCTGTTCAGCAAAAGGTGGAAAATCGCAACCAGGTATTTGTTCTGGTCCTTCTAATGTTCAATGTTGTAAGTTAGGATCCGGTAAACCCAAACCAGTCAACACAATGCTTACGAACTTGGCTGACATTCTTCGTCGTGCTGGTCTCCGTGTACTCGAACAACCAGGCTGGAAGACACGTGGTCATGGTAAAATGGCTTCAGTGAAAAGTATTCTAATTCATCATACTGCTGGTCCGTCGAAAGGTGAATATCCTTCACTTGGTGTCGTCAGAGATGGTCGTAAGGATCTTCCTGGTCCTCTTGCACAACTCGGTTTAGGTCGTTCAGGAACTTGGTACGTCATTGCAGCTGGTCGTTGTTATCACGCTGGGAAAACAATTAATGATTCGATTTTCGGAAATTCGAATTCAATTGGTATTGAAGCTGAAGGAACTGGTACTCCATCGGATAATACTGGACATCGATACTGGCCACCAGTTCAATGGAAGAGCTATGTACGTGGTGTTAAAGCTCTTCAAGCAGCTTACGGTGTGCCTACTGCACGTGTTTTGGGACACAAGGAAGCAGCAGTGCCTAAAGGTCGCAAGTCCGACCCCAACTTCTCTATGACTGAGTTTCGTGCTGCGCTCCGTTAATCAATAGAACTTCTCACTTCTATTTACTCTACAACTAGACTTTAATATTCTAGATAAAATTAGCTTATAATTATATGTTGTTGTAAAGCTTATCTTCATATTTGAATAAAATTAGATAGTGACCATCGAAAATATTCATCTATCTTTTGAAAATTGTGCATCACAGATAACGAACTTGACAGCAATTTCTTCTGATATTCTTGTATTGCTTCATCTTTAACATAGACAAAACTCAAGGGGATATAGATATCGACTTATGTACTATAGACCATTACTGAAACTATTGAATCGTTGATATTGAAAGGAAGTTCTGAGATTGGAAGCTGATTTGAAAGAGGACAAACAAAAACACTTTTCTTCGATTTAGATTCAACTTGCTGGAGAAAGAAAAAGACAACTTAAATATGTTGAAAGGAAAAAGAAAAGCAAGAGAGCTATTAGTAATGAGAGCGGAGAAGGAGACACCATGTAAGAGAGTGTCTTACAAAGAGGATGAAAGTCTTGTTCAAACAATCTGGATTCTCGAATTTTGCAAATGCATTCAATTCAGTAAATGTAAAGTGTGGGTCACCTTCACATCGAAAAACATCGTTTTTTGTGACAACTCGGAAAGTTTTGTGAGGATTTAGATTTGTCTATTTCATAGAATGTTCCTCGAATTTATGCCGCATGATCGCCAGTTATTTACTCTGAAATGGAGACTCAGCCTTTGTCATCAATTTTCTAGAGAACATTGTAGTTCTATGATCATTCTGGATGGCCACCAACAGGGAACTAGACAAATGTGTACAATTAGATATCTGATGATTTCCAGTATAGATAGATCTTTACGATAAATTAAAGTCGGATGTTCAGTTACATCAGCTTTCAACAGTAAAACAAATTTAGTGAACATCAAACATTTGACGAAAATAATCACAGTCAGTTTCGTTATTTAAAAGTAGGAGCTCAGAAATGCTATTTAAATTATGTCAAAAAAAGCAAAGCGTAGTCGTGAAAGTTTGCAAGAAAAAAATCAAATTCAAATAGATTGTTCCAAGAAAATCTGACAAAATTGATTTTATTTGTCATAAACTCGAATTATTTTTCTTGAAAACAAATCGATTTTAATCAATTCTAAATCACGCAACAGTAGAAAAAAATCTATTTTAACCACAAGAAACGAATGAATTCAATCAAATCAATGAAAATGATATCGATTATTGTTTGTCAGTAGAACTAATTTCTTAAAAATTTGCTCTTCTGCTTAATCTAATAAATGATCGTTGACCACAATACCGACAAGATCATTTGTTCTATCCAACGCTATTTTATCAATAAAAACTTGATCAAACCAACATATCTCTGGTGCGAAGTAACAATCACTGATTCTTGGATAAATTCAATTAGAAAAAGTCTCTCGTTTTTCTAATGAATCTCAAAACACACTATTCCCGAGACATAGGAAATCACTGCTATAACACAAAACTTGAAATCTTTTTTAGCAATTCGTCATTCTCAGAAAGATTTTCTCATCAAGACTGACCTTTATCGTGTCTCAAAAGATTCAGAAAAATGAATTTGAATTTAGTTTATCGAATCCGATTTGGATAAAGATAAGTCAAATAATAGAATTCTTCCATCTGATACCTTATTCAAATAAAGCATCTAATCAATTTTTCATCAGTTCAAAGATAGAAAAGGCGTCAGAACAATATCAAACTCTGTTTATCTTTTTGACACACGATCCATTTGATCTAGACCAACATCTCAAAAATCTGCCGACCAGTCCATCACAAAGCATTAGTTCGATTCACTTTTTCTAACCACGTTTGAAAGTTCATCAATTGGACACTCAATACGAAACTCTTAACGAACATCAATATCAAAGATTCACTCAACAAAAAATATCTCGTAGAAGTGAATACATGGGATAGACTCGAAATCGATTACGATCAGCAAATCAATCTTCTTATTTCATCTTTATCTGTAAATGATTAATGAAGAAAAAAAAAATGAGAAAAATGATTCTCATCTGTACAAATTCTTTTCTCAATGAAAAAGATCATTGTTATTCATAAGTTATCATTTGAATCAATCTCGCAAGAAAACACCTTTGCAGACAGACCAAGAAATTCAGATCGACCCATTGAAAAATTTTACTCACAAGGAAACTTCATCAGCTAATACTCTCTGTTTGAGCTCATAGAGTACATTAATACAATCACTTTATTAATAGAAAAATCAACTTAATATCTCTGATCAATTTAATCGTTTATAATGACTTATTCAGATTTAATACTATTATCATTTTTGATTTGCAATTTAATGATTATTTATACGGTAGAACAATTGAGAGGTGATACAATCATACTAATGCATTACTCGACATTTTTATTTCCGGATTGTAATCCGTCAACAGTATTCTCTTAATATTCGATTGTTTATAAGAAAATACAAGAAACAAAAATAGTCTTAATCAATTTTTAATTTGCTCCCATTTTTCTTTTCCTTTTTTATTTCTTGGTGTTTTTTCTTTTGTCTTAGAAAGTTTGTTTTATTTACTTTTGCTTAGGAAAATATTATGCAGAACTCTGATGAGTGTTTTAATATTTTAATAAATAACACGAAAGACGTTGGCGAAATTAACTCTGCATTTCTTTGAAATTATTTTAATTCAAGCATATTTGTTTGATTTTCGACTTAGTCGATTGCAAAAAAAATAAGAGTTGAGATTAGCAAATTGAACTTGTCTTTTCGTTACGAGACAGGTCGATCTATTTTTCAATTGACTACCATTTGAAGATTCTCATTGCTGAGGTGAAATGTTATTACATCATGGTTGGTTTACACACCCACACCCTGCAAGATTTTCCATACACGTGACGCATTCTTGCTTTCGCCGCTAGCATAAAAATATTATCTGTCAGCAAACAGAAAAAAATATGAGTACGGTCATTCTTGGAGTCAACAAAGAGATCTATATATATAAGATAAGAAGATAAGCCTTCACGAAAGTCATTTTATCTGAATAGGTTGCATCGATAGCATGCCTTATACATCGAACTTTTTCTTCTCATCTCTAACAGTAGTTTTATATCAGCGACAACTACTTACTATGCCATGCGAACATTTCAAGAGTATAAATATAATCTCATCAACGAATATTATTTGATATCGTCATCTATTTCATAGGAGTCCACTTCATGGAATTATTTTTTTTTCTACAGATTGCTGATGTAAGCATATTCACATTTATTATTGAAGAGTATTCTTCATTTGGTTTATTCATCTTTTCATCTATTTTCTCTGGCTGTCATTCTGCTTAGTGATTCATCCGCTTAGTTCGATTTCTTTCTTCGACCACACCCTGTCTCATCTTTGTGACTTATTCTTCTCCGTTTCCTATTCAAGCTTTCTTTATGATCCATCATCTTCAGCACATTTTTTTTGTCTATCCCAGATTTTGTGCTTTCTATTTCGTCCCCTACCGTGAGAATTTTCTCTGTTAATCTGAAAATAAGTACATCAATGACAAAGAATCATACAATGGGAGATGATCGCCTCCTACTCTGTCTTTTTTCGTCTGTGGATTATATTTGCCATATTCATGGTGGAAAGCATTGTTGTATGATATAATGCTATCATTTTTATTTGATCATAATTGTGTATATTTCAGAAAATGTTTTGGATTGTACTATTATCATTGATCATAGTATTACCAATCACGGTCTATTATTATTTAAAATGGAAATATTATACATTACGCTTGGGATTCCTGGTCTAGAACCGGAATTCATATATGGCAATCTTCGTCAACTCGGCATTATAACATCGAACAAACAAGTAGTTGATTCATATGTTCATGGTTTTGAAAAAATGCAAAAGCAATATGGAGATATATTTCAAATTTGGATGGGTTCAAATCATTATTTTGTATTCTGTCGTCCTGAACACGCTGAAATAATATATTCTGAACGTCATATATTCGATCGTCCTGATATGCGTCTAAGAACATTTGGTTTAATAGCAGAAAATTTTCTAAGTACACTTATCGGTCCAAAATACAAACGACATGCAAAAGCAATTATGCCCATGTTGAAAAAACATCGATTTAAATCACAAATTTCGATTATTATCGATTGTGCTGATCGATTGATTCATATTTGGAAAGATAGATATGAAAATAAAGATAATGCCATATGTACGTGTATACTGACAGATAATCAACAATTAATGTTAGATACATTTTCACTCTTAACATTTGACTATGATTTGGGTAATTTAAAGCATCTATCCAAAATTGCTAACCGATGCAATGCAGAAACCCAAACTGAACCATCAGAAATGAGTATCGCAATATCGATTTGGTTAAATGCATTAAAACGTGTTACAATTAATGGTATGCCAACTTTTATCAATAATTATCTATTAAAAATTGATAGACAATATCAACATGCTTTGGGAATACTGGAAAGTTATGTAGAAAATATAGTTCGAAAATGTCAAAAAGAAATAGATCCAAATGCTAGACCAGTAAATCTTGTTGCATCGTTAGTATCATCATTACAAAAGGATGAAGCATCTGAAAAAAGAAAACCTGAAACAGAACAGATAGGAATTATGAAAAAAGAATTATTAGGTGAAGTATTAGGATTAATTCTGGCCGGTTTTGATACGTCATCAAGTATTCTATCATGGTTTATTCATTTTGTAAGTAAAAAATCTGAAATTCAACAAAAAATAAAAGAAGAATTGAAGCAACATGGTATTACAAAAGAAACACCTTTGGATAATTTCGATTTATTAGATAAATGTCAATATATTGACTGTGTCATGAACGAAACATTGAGATTAGCACCACTTGGATTTGGTATACTGCGAACACTTCTCAATGATATTGTTATTGATGGAATCAAAATTCATAAGGGAGACACAGTTGTATCATCATATGCTCTAATGCAACGTGATCCAAGATATTGGAAATTAGATCCAACTGAATTTATTCCAGAGAGATTTTTTGGTGTTGATGCGCCCGATGCCAATCATAATCCGTTCGTGTTCACTCCGTTTGGCGGTGGACATCGAGCTTGTGTTGGACAAGATTTAGCTCGACTAGAATTAAAGGTAATCATTATACGTTATATGCTATTCGTTACTTTTATTGATGCACCTGGAAACAACGGTGGCCATCGTCAAGGAATGACAATTGTACCGAAAGAATTAGCAGTTTCAATGAAATTTGATTAACATATACTTTTTTGTTGAACATTTTATTTACATGCTGCACTTTTCGTAGATATCATATAACCTCGGGAATGGGTATTCTTAGATGCCCCTTTTAAGCATTACCAGAAACTATCAAGAAACAATAACTTAATGTCAAGTATTTATTCGTTTATAGCTTTGTAGCTTGAATTGCAACTCGGGTTCGGACCTTTACAAATATGTACCTGTTTGTATCAATGAGGCTACTGATCCATACCGTACGACTCCATTATTCCAGTTAGCGCCGAAGCCAATTTTTTTGAGTTACAAGTAATCTTACAGGACTGCAAAATTGTAAGAAAATCGATTCGGCAAAGGGTGTGGGGCAGGTGTAAGTGTGAGTATAATCCTTTTCACTTCACACTCACACCCGCACCCTCGTCATCTCCGATTATATTTTGTCAAACTTTATAAAAAGTCATTTTTTTCTTAAAAAACCTTGGTTTTAATGAAAAACTCTATGCTTTAACGTTAACTAGTTTATTAAGGTATTTTTACAGTTAAAGTGCTACCCCTAGTTTCGGGTTCCTAAGAGCGGAAACTCATATTTGATTTCGGGTTTCTGAGAGCGGGAACCCGTGTGTGGGTTCTCAATTGAGTTTGCGTACGTCCTACACTTTTCGGTATGTCATTCGATCGACTATTAATCATAATTTTCACTTTTTAAACAGCTCTCTGACACATTTATCATCAAAAGTTGATGTAATATTGAAGAGGAACGTAAATATAGTATCGATAGATGAAGATATTGATACTGATTTATTTTTCATTATAAGCATTAGTTTATATTCCATTATCATAAAGAATGGAAAATAAGCAATCTAATATTTATTGACACTCACAGACGATAGATCAATGTTCAGAAAAAAAATGCACGATCGGTGCGCAAATAGGTCAATGATAAAATATATATTATATATAGACGTATTTGTCGATGTAATTTTATCAATATTTTTATTGAATGAAAAAGTCAAGTGAGGTGGCTATGCGAACATTAAATGAATATCGCTCTTGCATCTTTTCTTATCATAGTTACATGGATATGGAAAAACAATGAATTAGGATAAATTTCATCATGTTTACTCTTTCCCTATTTCTCTAAAATGAAGATACGTCACAATAGATTACATTATCATAAATTTATCTATTCGTTCTATAAAGACAGGCAGTAAATTTTTGTGGCAAGGATCGATAGATGGTAAAACTTTAAGAAAAAGAAAAGAAGTTGGAGTAAAATAAATCTGCATTTCGTTGCTGCGTTGAAGCTTATCAACTGAAATCAGTTGACTGACATTTGACAAGAAAACTATTATTTCTAAAAATATTTTATCCTAAAGCGTCAATAACAGTAGTTTTGATTAGTATGGAAAGTTAAATTCTGTAAAATTCATTTAAATTATGTAATCTTTATAATATGTAACATTTCAAGTTAAACTATGCTATAAACAAAAAATTTCTATTAAAAAAACAACAGATTCAACTCCAATTATTAAAAAATATTAGAATTTTGACAATTGTAGAGCTTATAAGAGTGATAAAACTTACATGTAATTGAGATATCTAACAGAATAAGATACAGTAGTATTTCAGACATCGTGAAACAAAAACAGTGGTGTATTATGTCAAAACATAGTTGGAAAAGATAAGATTTGTATTTGTAAAAATATGTAATTGATCTGGCAAGGTGTAACTAGTCTGATACAATAATGATATACATTTTTTCACCTATCAATTATTATGAAGAAATAATTGTTTATACTGTATAAACAACCTTAAATGAAATATTTCATTCAAGATTTAATTCTATATTCATTGTTATTTTCTTTAGATTCTCTTGATGGTGCAATGAATTAGAATCCAGTTTTTTTATATATGTTTATATATCTATATTTTATAATCTTAATGATGATTTTTATTATTCATTGTTTCATCCATTGTTCTTAGGTGCTTGTCTTCGACATGGTATTTTGTCTCTTTTGAACAGTGATAGAATTAATGTCTGTCGTGAAGTTATAAATGAAGATAGCCGTCTCTTCTCTTGGTGGGTAATGACGCGTGATGTACCAATGATTGTAATTAGTGTTTGTGCTTTAATTGGTGTCTAATATTCATAATTTTGCAATAATTCGCTTGCATATTCCACGATTTCAATTTGTAATGATGATTTGTTATGGGATTTTATTCCATAAAGATACACATCAATACGGAGATGGCAACAAAGAAAAATTTTTAAATTTCGATGCATTCTACGTCGAATTGCTGTTGCTAGAAGAATCAATAATCACCATTGGTGTCATCATCATGTCAGAAGATTCTAAAAATTTGTTTATTTTTTCAGGGTAACTTAAGAGTGTTCATCAAATTTCAGTTTAGAAGAACACATCAATTCCAATCCCAGTTTTTGACGTGGAATGTGTAATTGGATTTATTAGAATTGGCTGTCATAGAATGTCTAATTTTGTGTGTATATTTCCGTAAATTAATAATTTTTTTCCAATTTCGATCAAGTCCGAAAACTGGAGTTAGTGCGTCCCTATTTCAGCTGATCGAAGAAGAATATTTTTTTCGTTTGTAATACTTTCGTTATATTTTGTTATTCAGATGATCTTTGATGTGTCGTTTGAATTTGATGATCAACTATCCAAGAGACTCTCCGTTTTTTATCAAGTTTATTCAATTTTAATGAAATTTCTCTTAATCCATTATTATTCGATTAGAACTATACGGGGAAACATTTTTCAGTATTTCTAGGAAATTACTGATGTATAAGAAAATTTATACATTAATGAATTTCAATTTGTAATTTATTTGAAGTATTTCTTGAAAGAATAGCAAATATTTTTTAATATAATTTCAGATAGACTGTATTATTCTCGTCTATGGTAGGGCTACAATTATGATAATCTTCCCAAAATGTCTCACAACTACACGTTGATTCGTGATTGTAAATTTTAATTTTGTCTAAAACTTGACGAATATCAGTGATGATATTTCTTAAGAAATTTTGCCGCTGAAGACCATCACATTCGTGATGATTGTTAAAAATTACACATTTATTACTAAGCGAAGCGAAAAATTTCTGATTTTACTTTATAGCTTGTTGCTGAACAGCATCATTTAATTGTATACTATCGGAAAAAAGTTAGCAAATCCTTATTGACATGTTTGTTTTTTTTGACCTGCTAAGTAGTAAAAATAATAAAAACTTCCAATTATTTGTGGAGAGGGATGAAGAAATACCGGCTCTGCTTGGCTGGTGCACCTCTCATCTCATGTGAATAGCAAACTTACACTTAAATTTGTGGTCTATTATATATTAATATTAGCAAAATGCAGACAGTTAGGAAAAGCAATAAGTTCCAATCGCTTTCTCAAAGTTTTTTTGGGGGAAACGATTGCTTCCATTGCAAACGTGTTAAGAGAAGGTTCGTCAGAGCACTGACCCAGTCGGTCCGCAGTAAAATTTAAATTTTCGATTTAATATTCTCAAACGATAGATCATCATTAGAAACCTCTAAATCCAAAAATATCGGCTCTTTCTGGTTTATATGTAAAAAAACGCCAAAGAATGCAAATGACACTAAAGTTAGTTGACCCCTAGTCGAAAACTTGAGTTTTTCGGGTGCTACTAGTATTTTGCGATATTCTTTCTGTGTTCGCTCATCCGTTTAAGTTCATACATATTTCAAAAGATGCAGAAATATTTTCTCTAGAAAACTGGCTAACTCACTAACTTCTAAAGTATCTTTTATGAATTCATAATATCAATATACAGGCAACAAGGACCATTCACTAATATGAAGATTTTCTAGTATTTTGACTGTTGTCACACTGAATTAAGTTGTCCCAAAATAATTTTTATATTTTCTAAAAGCTCTTGAAATTCTGCATCGTTTAAAATATTACTTTAAAAGACAAAACTCTGGTAGCAAAAGTTAGTCAATACCACAAATGTAACCAGGTCATAATTATCTAGATTCATTCTGACCAGAAATCGATCATTATATTTTTTGTGCTTCTCCCAAATCAAAAATCTGACTTCAGATATAACATCAGTATAAAAAACTGAGCCGATCTATGTGTGTTTGAAATTGTTTCTGCGACTTTTTTTTCGGTCAAATTTTTATCCCTGATCTCCCTCAAGTCCCTGTGAAAAAATTAATTAATTCGAAAAGTCATGTCGACAATGGAAAGAAAGTTTCAAACTTGTGAAGTGCTATTTGCGGACAAAAAGCCCTTGAATAACCAATGAAATAGTTGTTTTGATTATATTTATTTTTTCATAGGTTCTGGGGTCCATCTCAGGGAATGAAGATTTGTTTTGTCACTCTTCAAACAGAAGGATACGGGTGTGAATGTGATCCACTATGCGTCCACAGCCACATCCATACCCTCACTCCCAAACATTAATTTTTTATAAAATCTAAGTCCTAATATGTATACTGTAGCTCCACTTTGAAGCTTTCGAATTTCTCTAAATCGATAGATTTAGCACATAGACATACGAAAACTTCTGTGAAATTTTATGCACGATGTATAGATTTCTATGATAGGCCATTTTGAAAACGGTCGGTTATGCACTATGAAACGCTTGTTGTGAGCTTGGAATGTAAACAAAATTATTACATGAAGGTGTTGGAAAACGAAACGTCTCGTGATTAATATTTCTTATAGATTTGGTTAGATACATACTATGCATGGCCTATCCTTGTGATGAATTGATAAATACCAAGCTAGCTGCGTTCAGTACTACATGAGTTTGGTTGTTTATAATAATTGATTGATTAGTTTTGGACTGTTATAAAACATGCAAAAATCACATATCAGACAACACATCAGCGATTTGCGATTTGATCATGTTCATATTCTAAAAATGAAAAGACCAACCCTTAGACAAGAAACAAAGATGTATTCTTTCGAAAATAAACTGATGCAAGTCGCTGAGTCGTTTTTCCAAGTAAATTTTTTAAATGAAATTGTATCGAAGTATCTTATTATTCATATCGTGTTATATGTAACTACCTTGAAATGCGATCATACACGAGCGACCTCTTGTGATCAATATGACAGATTACTAATTAACTATGACATTAACTAATTGTATTTCAAAAAAATTGACGAAAATTTATGAACATTTGCATGTTGCCTTTTCTAGAAAGTGGCCTCGTAGTTCTTGCGCAAGACCCAAAATTGACCAACGTTAAACTTTGAAATATTGCATCAGAAAAATCGGAGAATTGCGCAACATTCCCTATTTATGTAGTTTGTTTTTGTTTAAACCAAACATTTCTTTTTTTATCAAATAGCAATGAGTATATACATTTGAAACGTTAGTTTCCAACTCACTTGAAGTATCGTTCGTCGTAAAAACATTGTTTAAGTCTAACTCGATGGCAAAATATCAGGTGCGGTCTGATGGTTTTTGTTTTGCTTTGTGTATCCACCCATTTTTATAGACTAATAAAAGAACTGCAATACTAGGATTATAATCATACTTTGCTAAGCACTTACTTTTTCACATTATTTTAGTTTTGTGTAAATTTCCTTTTGTAAGATGAGTTAATTTTGATCTCGGTATCCGTGTAACCAGATATTAGGTTTTTCTGAGCCAGTTTTCTTTGTTTATTTTATTAATACTCTAGCCGAAATCAATGACATGATCATAATTCTAACGTTTAAGTATTAGAAATATTTCATAATGAGATTTATAACTTTTTTGCAGGTTTTACAATCGTTACTGGCCAAAGATTGTCAGTTTGGCTTTATTATTTTGTATAGGAATGAAGCATTGTTTGGAGTATTGCATGGTAACTCTCGAAATATAATTACAAAAATTTCGGCTGACTTACCAAAAAAGTGTAGATATGGTGGTTCACGGACAGTTCAATATACTCAACTTCGAAGAGAAAAACAACAGATATATAAACAAAAAATATCAGAAACGGCTCGACAATGTTTTATTACGGATGACAAAGTCAATGTGATGGGTATAATTCTTGCCACTGAAGAATCTTTCATAAATGAATTTCAACTGGATGTATTCGATTCTGTTAGTTGTTCTTTCTTTCTTTCTTTCTGATAATGATTATTAGCAAAGGAAATGTTTTGTAGTGTCTTCAGGAAAAAATTCTCGAACGTGTAATTATTTCTGACGATGGTGAAAATGATTTTAATCAAGCAATTGATTTGATCATTGAAACTCTCAACAATATCAAATTCATACGCGAGAAAAAAGTTCTTGGTAAGTTTGGTTCGTAACACATGAGATTGAACTTCAGTTGTTGCTATTGTTGCTTTTTTTCATTTTCTCAGCTCGATACTTCAATAAAGTATCGAAAGATGGTAGTCAGTATTGTTTTGGTGTGACCGATACACTCAAAGCACTGGAAATGGGCTCTATAGAAACATTGATTGTATGGGAAAATTTCGATGTGAATCATTATTTTCTACGTCATAGTCAAATGCAAGAAATGAAAATGACAAGTTCATGTGTTGATCAAGAAAAATATACAGATTTCGATTGGGAACATATTGAAGAAATGCCATTACTCGAATGGTTTGTTAAGAATCATAAGAAATTCGGTAAGAGATAATGAGTGATTAATCTGATATTCAATCTTTTTATTAGGCGCTACACTTGAAATTGTGACAGATAAGAGTCAACAAGGTTATCGATTTGTGCATGATTTTGATGGTATCGGAGGTTCGCTATTATTTGACACATTATTTTTCCTTCGCCTTCTTATTTTTACTTATAGGTATTCTTCATCACAAGATTAATCTTCAAAATACAAGTATTGAGGAAGATGCAGAATTGATCGACTATAGTAAATTGAAAGAAAAATAAGATCGACTAATTATTGTAATTTATATTTTAGGTGACTATGATGACATGTTCTTCCACAGTTGATCAAAACTATCTTCTCGTTATCTAACTCATGTACTTCACTTATTTTTCAGTTTGTGGTTGAATATAAATAATGAGATAGAAAAACAAAGAAAAGAGATTACATAAAATAAATCAAAAACAAAAATTCCTCATGTGATTTCTTTTTAGACTAGCCAACTTGCTGTCGAACATTAAGTGCTTATGATTAGAAATTTTATACATAGGCTGAGTTTTGATTATTTAACCGAAATAATTTTCATGAAAAAACTAATGATGAACGAATCAATTCAGTGCAGTCTTCGAAAATATATGATTTACCATTATTTTCTAGATCAAAATTGTATATTCGAATTTAAACTAATATGTAGATAAAGTACTTCATCGATTATGAGAAATAGCTACGATACGGAACCTAAAAAGAGGTTCGAAGGCGTGGATAACGGGTGTGGATGTAGGTGTGTGTACGGGTAAGGTTCTTGATGAAAAGAAAATCCACACTCACCCTCATTTGGAGCCATTCGCAGTCATTCCAATGGCTCGGAATGGATGCGAATAGATGAGAGTGGATCAGAATGGCTTCAAATAACTCTACTTCTCGTATATTGAGTGTACCTAATAACGGCGGTCAACTCAATCGATCTATCACTTTTTTAGTAGCCTGGAAACCCTGATCATTTTCTACAATTTTATTTTGTATTATATGATAGCTCTTTTTTTTGTGCCCGGAGTTACCTCAGATATTGAAAAAAACATTTTTGTCTTCGATATGTTTGTAGTTGTTACATATCGGTAGAACATAATGTACTGATTATGAATGTCACATTTTTTTCCAAAATTAGTCGGATAATAAAAGAGGTCTTGGACAATTTTAGAACATCTGAAAATTACTTTTTGACGTAAAAGAGCATCACTGCCCGTTTAGAACTTGGCGCGAATAGGTTCATTCGATGCAGAATATTTTTCTCTATCAGAATATATAAGAAGCTTTCAAAGAAATTAGTCTTTTTCTACGGATAACCATCAAATCTCGCCTCGGTTGAGTCCTATAGACATAAGCAGTGTTTTATCAGTTCTACGAAAATATAGTTTACATTAATGAATCAGCGAAATTTTTGCACCACAAACATAATTCAATAAACTGTTTCTAGCATGGTTATTTTCGACACTCTTCATCTGTTTCACGTTCTATATAAGAATCTCCTAGAGAAAATCGGTTTTGAGAAGAATGTGGTTACCTCGATATCCAATTTGATCTTCAGAATACTTCCATTAGAAAGAGCTCATTGAATTTTTAAGCCCTCTAAGGCTACGAATGGATGAGAATGACTGAGAATGGATAGGAATCCTACAGAATGGCTGCGAATGTTGGAATAGATTTTTTCTCCCTTGCCAGACTCAGTCTTTAATTGGAAAACTGGTATCCGGTCTATTTGAAACCCTGTTGGGCTGATCCTAGTTAACCAGTCTGACTGGGACTGGCGCATACCTATTTATAAACACGACCAGATAGATATCATTGCCTCTCTTCTTCATTTATTTCAGGTCAACCTAATAAGAAACTGCAAACAAAATGATTCCCTATCTTTATATGTAGCTGATAAGAAACTGCACGCAATAGAAGATAATGACATTTATTTTGCGTAGCTGAGAGTATATATCAGACAACATTTTTTTTTCAAAAGTTGAGAAACCATTTTTGTTTTCTTTTCAAACAATTGATGTACAATGATGATTATTTGTTTCTATCGCGTATTAGCTGTTGCCATTGGCCTATCTTTAGCTGAAGGAGTTTTCGAGGAAATAGACTTTCGAAAACTGCAGATTATCGAAGAAGTTCCATCTCAGAAATTGTCAATGGATGAAGCTTATTTGATCCTGAGCAATATGAACAGTGAGTGTGGGTGTGGGTGAAACCCGCATCATCATCCACACCCACACCTACACCCTCACCCACATCCACACCAGAGATGGGACCGATCTACCTTTTTCCACACCGATACCAGTACCGGTCTGGAAACCTTGAGACCGGACCGGACCGGCCGGTATACCAGTTCAAACCGATCTACCGGTAGTGAACAGGATACTGATGATACGCCAGTTTATCAGGAAAATCCGACCTATCGACAAAATATCGATCTATAGAAAACAGGCTGAAGCTTAAAGTGAAGTCTTCTTGTCAGCAAAAACGGCTAACGGTCAACCGGCGTGATTAAAGTTGACGACCAAACTTCTCCGATGCAAAACAACTGATCCTGCTCATTCAAAGTTTTTACGTAGGTTTTCATACATTCTGCGTCGATCTACATCGTTTTCCGTTCAAGATCAAGATAAAAAATCATAGTTGCCAGTCAAAATCTACAGTTTTCATATAAAAATGACTTAAAAAAGCTCTTTTTTCAGCTTAGACATTACAAGTACTCTTTTGACTTAAGCAAATCTGAAAACATTTCTAACATAACAACACTGGTGGCAGGTAGAAATAAAAATCAACATCATTATTTTGATATTCCAAATCAATATAACCGACCCCAACTTTGTCTTTTAAAGAAAAGTGTCTGTGCGTTACTTGATGGCTTCTATCTAGCTCGCTCATATTTCAATGTATCGACGTTTTCTTTTAATCAATAGATAGCCCAGAATGTTAGCTACAAAACCATCTCTCACTTAATTGATTAACACAGAGTATCTCGTCGTGTTCTCATTTCTCTTACATACACCCAGAAAAAAAGGGACTTTTTTGTCTGTGCGTTACCAGCCAATATTTTTTGTATAAAACTCGACTGCATAAAGATATAAAATTGAAATTTTTATGGTGAGTAGAACTCCGTCGAATATATATTTGCTAATAGTTTCACCGCTCTAGCTCCATTAGTTGTCGAGATGTACGCCTCTGAATTTAAAAAAACGCCTGTGCATTATCTGCGTTTTTTATGTTGTGTGGTGAACTCTCTTGTGGGTTATCTTCGTACCTTGAATACAATCATAGAGCAAGAAAGTGAAAAATATAGACCAATATAGATCGGTCAGATCGGTATAGACCAGTTTGAACCGGTAGACCGATCGATCCAAAATCCAGATCGGTACTAGACCGGACCGGACCGGCCGATTACCAATACCGGTTCTCTCTCTGACCCACACCTACACCATCATCAACTTCTTCGGTCAAAGGTCCCAGGACTTCTACGAAAGCGGGATCCTATCCCTGCCAGAGCGTTGGCGACAAGTCATAGATAGTATGGGTGCATGTATAATTCAAAGCTAGTCGTACTGTTGGAGTAAAAAAATAAAAATAAAATTTTTGAAACAAACGCAAAAGCTTCGTTGACAACCTAACATGTCTCCTTCGACTGCGCAATTGTTTCATTCTTTCGTGAGGTGTCTGCTTTTACCCACATCTTTATTTTTCTCTTTGGTTACAAAAAGAAAGTTGGCCTTTCTTAATGCAATGCGAAGAAAGAAAGAGAAATTTGTTGACTTTTTTTGTTACATTCAAGAGCAGTCAATCAGTTTCTGTTTTTACTTAACGGCAAAGAGCAGTTGTACAAGGTAAATACATAAAAATAACTATTTAAAACATGAAAAGAGATCCATAATCCCTTATTTGATACTGTTTTTGTCACATTCAACAATTTTTGATGTATCGCTTCAGATCTTATTCTCATATTCGTTGAACGACTGTACTAACCAGAGATGGTCTCTCTCTCATTTGAGAAACGAACTGAGTCAAGAGTATGAGTATAAATAACAAATAGAGACCTCTTTTTTCTATTAAGGATATCTTGGCTTTCTTTCGACTACTTACTGGTGCTCTTTATGGATATAATCGTTGGAGCTAAAGACCAAAGATAGGTTCGATCGCAAATTCAACCGTATTTAAAAAATGAAGAAAAACCAAATAGATTTTAGGTCTTTTGATTCAATGCGACCTCTATTCTTCAAAGGTATAGTTTTAAACACCCGCACACAGACCCACACATATACCCATACCCACGCACGCCCACACCCACACCCATACCGATACCCGCAACCACATCCACGCCCACCCACCCACACCTACACACCCACACCCTGCTAGTCTAACTTTTTCTTGTAAGTAATAGTCGAACAAGTACCAACGCAGCACTCGGAATCAACGTATGGCATTGTCAGAATACTCTGCAACGACTGAAGCCGATGGCGAAGTGACACCTCGACGTCGTCCAGAAAAAATGCTGCAAGATGTATTTCCCGTTCGTGGCGACAAGAAAACCAGAGGACACTCTTTCTTCATGAAGGTTTTGGGCGTACAGAAAAATCCTCTTCCGCATTCCAACGTAAATTATCAAATTGACATGGAAGATGGTGAGCACCTTCTGGAAAACATAGAAATAAAGTTAAGTGAAGCTGAACTGGTTGAAGACCGGAAGAAGGATCTAGTGTATGAAGATCATTTCAATAAATCAGTGCTACAAATGGTTGGAGAGCGGAAATTTTCATATAAGAAGCTATTACGTATTTGTGCAAAATATGAAAATCAGAACGATCTTCAAGAACACACTAAACGTAGTAATGCAACTTGGCAAGTTTTCAAAAAAAACCTGAACGAGGATGATTCGCGGGCATCAGCGTTTGCCGTTGCCTTTTATACTGGTTCGCAAGCGTTTGGTATTAATCGAAGTGTCAGTGTTATAGTACGACAAAGCAATGGTGAAGCATTCAACATGATTAAGAATGGTGACTTACAGGATGTGAGTACTATTATCTATTATCTGGTTCGTGCTCTTGCTCATATTCCATACTATTGGGGCGTGACAGCTCGAGCCGTACAACTAACAGAAGCAGAGTTGAGTACATATACCACAGGCTCTTTGGTCACATGGCTTCAATTCAGTTCATCAATGAAAGGATATGAACCGCCGAAATACTTTTCACAAGATCGTAATACACATTTCATCATTTACTCAGTAACTGGTCGTTCGATACGAGAATTTTCAGTGTTTCCGGAGGAAGATGAGATTTTATTTCTACCACATTCTACGTTTCTGGTGCTTAGTCATAAACAAGCCGAAGACAAACATGTCATTTATTTGCGACAAATTGAACTTGGACTTTGTCAACATTCTATTCTATGGGTTGATGATCATATTTTCGATTCAACTTGGGAAAATAAAGAGCATATGCAGCGTGCTTCAACTCGTTCTTTAAATGGTAATGTACATTTCATTCCCAAATCAACAACTGAATATGCTTTATCATTTCTTCGCTCACCATTTGGCCAGCGTCTAAAGAATTGCTCAAGGTTTCGTATAGTTACTGACATGAGACGTGATAATGAGCCCTCACCACGATTTGCCGGCATACGATTAATTAAAAAAGTACGAGAAATGGGTTTTCAAAACCGATGTTTGATTTTCACGGGCTATCAAGAAAAAGCTCTTGAGAAGGTTCGAGCGGAATTAACAAGAGATGAACGTACTAATCTTGTGGTTACAGAGTACTCTGATGAGTTACATCGATTTGTTGCCTTCGAAGAATAATAAAACGAAC